GGATTGTGCCTGGATTAACCTTCTGTTATTGAATGCCTAAAGAGTATTGAAGGGAGATAGTGTTTTTCTGCCCATAAACCCAAGCCTGACCAAAAAAGATCACACAATAAAGAAAAATAATTGGAGGGATTCCTGGGATGAACCCATCAATAAGATGTCTGTATAATTTAAGAGCCAAAGAGGGACACTTTTTTTACAATGAAAAAGTCTGCTAATCAGACAGGACACACCTGTACAACAGGTGTAAACCAGTACTTCAAAATACACTACAAAGCTACAGTAACCAAAACAGCGTGGAACTGGCATAAAAACAGACACATAGGCCAATGGAACAGAATATAGAGCTCAGAAATAAATCCACACATTTACAGCCAACTGATTTTTAACAAAGGTGCTAAGAAAACACGATGGGGAAAGAACAGTCTCTTCAATAAATGGTGTTGTGAAAACTGGACATCCACAGGTAGAAGAATGAAATTAGACCTTTATCTCATACCATATGCAAAAATGAACTTAAAATAAATTAAAAACTTAAAGGTAGGACCCCAAATCATGAAATACTAGAAGAAAACCTAGGGGGAAAACTCCATGACATTGGCCTGGACAAAGATTTTTTTGGGTATGACCCCAAAAACACAAGCAAAAATAAGCAAATAGGATTATATCAAACTAAAAGCCTTCTGCACAGGAAAGTAAACAATCAACAGAGTGAAGGGGCAACCTACAGAATGGGCGAATGTATTTGCAAACTATACTTGTACATCTGATAAGGTGTTAATACTCAAAATATATAAGAAACTTAACTCAATAGAAAAAAAAACAAATAACCTAATTAAAAAAGACAAACAAATGGCCAAGAGGTATATGAAAAATGCTCAACATCACTAGTTATCAGGGAAATGCAAATTAAAACCACAATAAGATATAACCTCACACCTGTTAGAATGGCTGTTATAAAAACAATAAAAGATAAGAGCTGGTGAGGATGTGGAGAAAAGGGAACTCTCATAAACTCTTGATGGGAATGTATATCAGTATAGCCATTATGAAAAACAGTATAGAGGTTTCTCAGAAATTAAAAACTGAACTACCAGATGATTTAGCAATCCCACTACAGGGTATATATTCAAAGGAAATGAAATCAGAACGTCAAAGAGATCCTGCACTCCCATGGTTACTGCAGGGCTATTCACAATAGCCAAGATATGGAATCAACCCGCGTGTCCAACAACACATAAATGAATAAAGAAAATGTGGTATATACACATGATGGAATACTAGTCAGCCAAAAAATAAGGAAGTCTTATCATTTGTGACAACACAGATGAACTTAGGGGACCCTGTGTTAAGTGAAATGAGTCAGGCACAGAAAAACAAAAACACATGATCTCACTCATAAGTGAAATCTAAAAAGTTGATCTCATAGAGGTAAAGAGTAAAATTGTAGCAATCGGGTTGGGGTGTTTGGAAGAGTGTCAGGGAGATGTTGGTCAAAAGATAAGAGTTCAAAAGATCTATTGTACAACATGGTGACTATAGTTTAATAAAAATAAATTGCAACTTTGGAAAACGCTAACAGAGTGGATGCAAAGTGTTCTCACCACTGAAATGATGACTAAGAGGTAATGCATATTTTAATCAGCTAGATTTAGTCGTTGCACAATGTGTATATACTTTAAAACATCATGTCGTGCATGTTAAATACATACAATTTTATTTGCCAATTAAAGAAAATAAATATCCCTTAGAGGATACTCTGTTTTTCTCCTTTTCCAGACTTTCAGTTCCCTTCAGATATGTAAAAATGGGGTAATTCCCACATATTCTGGGAAGATAGCAGTCAGGAACAATGCAGATATGGCACTTTACCCAGCTGCAATTATAATCCCCTATGACTCAAATGCAAAAATATAAAATGCACGTATGTGTTTGAGGGGAGCTTCACGGATGAGGTATAAATTCAAACTGCACATTAAAGGATAAGCAAGTTTTCTAAATAGGTTATAAATTCAGGGATTCAGCCTGGGCAGAAGGATACTATCTGGAAGCAAGTCTTTGAACCCAGAGTTAAAGATGAGAAGGAAGGTCTGAAAAATACCCAGGCTTCTCAAACTTTAACCTAGTTAAGAATCACCTGGGGAACTTGAAAGTGCTGGTCTTGATTCAGTATGTCGGAGGAAGGGCCTGATAGCCTGCATGTGTCACAAGCTCCCAGATCGTGCCCATGATTTTGGTTTATGGACTACACTGGGGGATAGACAGAGAAATCTAAATGAGCAATTCAAATGTTCGTTTTGGGATTAATCATGAAGCAAGATTTGAAAGGCAGAGCAGGTAGGCAGTATATTTTTACCGGAGATTTTACTCAAATGCTGACAAAAACCAAGGAGGTAAGAGAATGAGAGAAGTGGTGTGGTAGCACTGTGTAGAGTGGTAAACACAAGTCATTCTCCAAAGGGTAAGTTCTCCTTGAGTCTGGAGAACTGTTGCGGTGGAAGACTACAATCCCGATGTTAGCAAATCTCTCAGTATTATCAGAAGCCAAAAATTCGGATTTTATTTTTAATATGAAATTTGCTGGTTTATAAATCCAGACTCAAAGTAAACACACACACACACGCGAACACACACAAAACATTGTGAGCCAAATAAATTGCATTTTCTTGCTAGACTTGCCCCTCACCTTGCACCTGTTTCATCCAAATAGTCAAACAAAGTCAGAACCTGGGCATAGGCAGGTAGAAACTAGCTCTTTAGGGAATTTGGGGACTTACAGGTATACTGCTTGGCTGAACAGTATAGATTACAGTTCAGAAAAAGTGTGCATGATGAGGAGCAGGAATCAGAACTCAAAAATCGAGGTGTGTAAAGCCTTTGGAAATAGAGTTGATGTCAGGACGTAGTGGGGTAAGTCTTATTTATAGTCAGAATGAAGGTGGCTTTGAATGAAAGATGAGGATTTTGAATTTTCTTTTTTCTTTTTGGATTTTTTCAATCAAAACATAATTGATTATCCATATTTGTGTGGTGCAGGGTAGACTACCAGTATTTGAGTACAATATGTGATGATCAAATCAGGGTTATTAGCATATTCATTACAAAACGTAATTACTCTTTTCATAAATAACTGAAAGTTACTGACTCTTGTTTTAAGTCAGGTCTGGCCCAGTTAAAATAAGAAAGTAGTGCAGGGAAGCTAACAATTTAATAATGAAAGTTTGCTCTTCGTTTTGTCACCAAAGTTGCCCCATCTAAGCAGACTATGACTATCTAGTCAAAGTAGACCCACGTTGACATAAAATTTCAACATTTATGGCAGGGGTTATGTGTGGTGAACAGAATTAGCTAGTACCATATATTCTATTTATTTTTCTGATGTTTTAGCAGACCTTTATAGGTAAGTGCTCCAGATAGTTGTTAAGGTGGCTAGCACCTTAATCTGGCCTTATACAAGGGAATGACAAAATCAAAATGGATTCTAGGAAAATGGTCTAGTTTTGAAAGTCTTGCCTGCAGTGGAGGAGATAAATGGAGGTGAAGGGGCAAATTTGAGAGGTAAAATGACAGGAGAATAAATAGGACCAAGAAACTGGTTGGTTGTAGCTAGAGAGCAAGATAGTGAAAGGGTCCATTTTATCTTTGAAAACTAGGTTCTTGCAAGTATGGTAGAAAATATAAAGTCATAAGGAGGAACTTTTGGGTTATCCTGTGTTCTCATTAAGAAAAAACATACATCCTTTCTTCTACTCTGGCATTTTGAATTAAGCTTATTCATGAGTTGTCCTTAGAACAACTTAGGGAGACTCAGTCAGGACTCAGCTTTATTTTGCTGCTTTATTGTTTGTCAAGACTGTGCAGGCAGACTCTGGATAAACTCTGACTCTGTCAACATCAAAACACCTTTATTCTTTCTCCTTTAAAAAGATAATACGATACAGACATGACATAATCCCGGCTTGTTAAGGATTTCTTAGAAACCCGCTGAAAGTGTAGGGATGCTAAGCGAGTAAGCACCAAGCCCAGAGGACTCACCCTGCGGTAGGTGAATCAGGCAGCAGCAGAGCTAGAAACGGTATAAACCTTAAATAAAAGACTCATTTAACCCAAGTGGCAGTTTCCGTAAATTTTCAAATGCAATTCAGAATTTGCAGAGTAAGAAATGTGAGAGCAAAACAAAGCCTTATAATAGATGCTAACCCTTATTGATCACTTGGTACATTCCAGGTAATGTCATACCAAAATTATCTATGTAAGTCAAATATAATGATAAATTTCAACCACTTCTTGACAATTCCCTAAAACAGAAACCCATAGTTTTATGCTAAGCAAAGCAACAGATTCTGCTGAGTCACATTCCTGTTGAGTCTCCCTGTGCCTCTCCAGTAACTCAACTGTCTTTCTCAAAAAGCAAGTCAGAAGGCTCACTTCTAGGTCTGTGTCACTTAGGAGTTGGATTCATCCATGCTATATAACTTGCCATTGTCTTTTCTCTGACACAAAGTACAGCAAAGCATTCCCCTTAGGTTGATTTCCCCCTCTTAGTAGAAGAGGAAGGCAGGGGTGCAGGGGTCCCACTCAGCTGGGCACCAAGGAATGCAATTAAAAGGCAGGTGTCCTGCCCCAGGGGAAAGTCTGTAACTTGGTTATTACTGCATTGCAGCAGTACTAGGAGTGCATTTTATATGCCAAATTAAAGTGAATACAAATATCCATATACACTAATATGAGCATAGAAAATTGACTATACGATGTTACCTGTTTTGAATAAAATGTTAAAGAAACTTAATGAATCAGAATTTTTTTTTTGTTTTGTTTCTAAGGTTTATTAAAATATGGCTCTTAGAACCCCTAAGAAATGACTATTTATAGGCAACTCAAAGGTGCAGAGGTCTATTACTTTCTCTGTGACATAGCTCTACTCAGCAGAAGTGGTTGTGATTTAAACTATGATTTCCCCAGCTTCATTATTTCACCTTGTGTTTTGCCTTTGTTCTTTCCAGGAAGCAGAATGTGCCTATACACTTTTTGTTGTTGCTATACTTTGGCTCACAGAAGCTTTGCCTCTGTCGGTAACGGCTTTGCTGCCTGGTTTAATGTTCCCTATGTTTGGGATCATGCAATCTAAGGAGGTAAGTTCTCCTGCAAATGTTTGTTTTAATTCGATTCCCTGTTTTGTGCTGAGATTTCCATTGAGGAAATTTGTTTTTAAAGAGAGCAATAATCATGTTGATAAGGCTTCTACATAAATCCCCAAACTTCCGGTTGTTTCTCCCCTCTGTGATTCTGCATGTGTATCCACCTTCAGGGAACAAACACGGGCTGCAACTTCTTGAGCCACATGTGTCAGTAGGAAAAATGCATGTCACTTCTCTGGCTGACATCTATGCCTGGTGCCTCTCTCATAACAAAAGGGTCAACTTGTTCACATCCTGCATAAGCTTTTTCTATTCAGCAGAGTTCAGTTTCACAGTTTTGGAAAAACAATTTTTGGTTTTAATGAAGAAAAATCTTCCTCGTTTCTTTTCTGGAAACCTGCCATTCAAAAAATAAAGCCAAGTTAGCTTTCACGTGTATTTCTATTTTGTTCTTGCTGAGAGGAGTTTATTCATGCTGAAAGGTGTTTATTACCTTTATATAATCTAAGGGTACCCATTGGAAAAAATGGATTTGGTTTCTCATTAAAGGCATAAAATGCATTGAAACCAGAATATCTATCTTCATGAAGTCTCCAGCCACCTAGCAAACAACAGCCTAAACCACAATTGAAACATTCTCAGGAAGGATGTCAAGTTCAAGATGCCAGTCGGTGCAACGTATTACCTTTGGACTTCTGTCCTCTGCCTGGGTTCAACATTGCTATCTTGAGGCTCATCTGTCTTTAACATGGGTGATTTTTCTTTTGAACTAAAGCTTGATGACTGTTCTTCCTGTGAGAGGAGCTGTTCCCTTTTTTATTTTTATGTCCTTTTCCCCCATTTTGGAGCCCAAGTCCATCTTCTTGCATTTTTGATCCTCTCTGCTTCTCTTTTCTTACTCTATTTCCCATTCTCTCCTACTCTTGACTTTTCTCTTTCGAATCACCATTGGTTTGGAAGACAGTATGGCCAGAGCTGTTCTTCAGTTCTCTTACCCCAGGCTGATATTCTGCTGCCCCATGGAATATGCAATCTATAATCTACAAAATTTCTTAAATGTTCCAACATGTTATATGGCTCTCAATAAACATTTGGCATCAGTGGTTAACCACCTAACTCCAGAGATGGTTAAGTTTAATAGTTACACATTTGTCTTTTATGGTTCAATAAGAAACTGACTAAACTGACTTTTTAAAAGAGGCTGAGGTAGAAGTGAGATTAGTTGGAATTATGATCATTTCTGCAGCAAGCTGCCTTAAAAGGGGACATAAAAACACTAGAGGGAAGCAGGTGACATCACTCAGGACATCATTCCGGATTGTGGGTCTCTAACGCCCCACAAGGAAGTTCATATCAGTTTTAAATAATTTTAACTTATAAGCAACTCAGCTTTATTGAGTCCAAGTCTGAAACTCAGTCACTTTCAATCATTAAACTCTTTTTTCACATCTAGGATCCCACAAATAAACCTCATCTGTCTTTCTCATGATAGTGTTGCTTGGATTTTAAAATTAAAAACATTTTCTTCTTATTCTTACCACTTCTAGTCTTTATGGTTCCTAGATCTCAACTCCCATCCTCAAACCTGCCACCTCCAACTCTATCACCACCACCATTTTCTTTTCTCTTCCTGGAACTAACTCTAGTTTGTCAATCAAACTTAAGAATTAAAGTCTGTTATATAGTAAGCACTCAATATGTGTTAGCTCATATTCTTATTATTTGTATATTGACGATAGTAAATAGATCATTCTAGAAACATCCACAGTGTTCTGAAGCCAATGGAGTCTATCATCTTTCTGGTATTTCAGCCTAAGTTTGTTTTAAACTTTATGTGATTTTCTTCTCCTAGTAAACTGAACTGAAACTTGCAGCTAATCCAAGCCCTTAGGACTTTAAGTGGAGAAAGTTATTCTTCAGTCTTTTGATCCTCTTTCCAAACGAGGCAATTTACTTTTTACTCATAAGTAGTTGACCAAAGCTACAGTGTATTATAAAAAGAGCTAAACCATTTAATCAGAAGGCCTGAGCTTAAAACCTGACATTAACCACTAATTACTTGTATGATTCTGATCACGTCCCTCAATAACTGTTTTTTATAATCTGTAAGTGGGACATGATAATTCTATACAACCCGTGGGCTGTTTTAACACTCACATTAAATAATATACAAGTATGTTGAACAACGTATCATATAAGCATTCTTATGAGTTTTCATATTCACAGTTGAAGTTTGTTTTGAGAGTTTTAAACTATCATTCTAGCCTATTGCAGCATCTTTGAATCTCACATCTCAAAAGTAGGATAATGTGTTATTGATTTCCTCATCTAAGCTTAGAGTACTAAGCACCTCTGTCTTTGGCCACCATAGTTTTAAGCTTACTTTGCCTATTTATTAAGCCAATGCTAAATACCTATATCTTACTGAGCATGTTACTGTACTTGAAGAATATCAACAAATCAATATTTTCTGATATCCATTGAATTAAACCTAAAATGCTAAGTAGTAGAGTATGCCCAATTTGATATTCCAAAACAGATATCAATATTATCATTATTGAAAGTGTATTTATGTGTATTTTCATATTTATATATGTAAAATTTTTTATAGACCTGAGTCATCAGCATATAAATGGTATTTAAAGCCCTAGGACTTGATGAGATCTCTTAGAAAGTGAGCAAAAGTAGAAAACCAAAGGGGACAAAAAGATGAGCTCTGGATAACTACAACATCAACAGGTCAGTGAGAGAGAAAATTCTAGTCAAAGAAAGTGAGAAGAAAAAGTTGTTGAGGAAATTGACCTTTGCATTTAGCAAAACAACAACAAAAGTAAATACTTAAAAAAATTAGGCTTTATAGTCATATGCATTGTAACTAACCAAGCACCTTTTTTAAAAGAAATTATCTCATTTAATTCAAAAACTTGATGTGAGCTATTATTTAACTCTTACAACTTTTTGTTGATTTGTAGAAAAGTTGCTTAACTGGCAAATTACATAGCCAAGAAAGAACCCACGTGCTCTGATTGTAGAAGTTCATGTTTTTTGATGAAATTCCACTTTGAGACAGAAATATAACTACCTTGATCTTGCAAATAGACTTTAAATTTCATTAGGAATTATAATTGATATATCAATTTTGCCTCAAAAATAGATTTATCAGTGTCATTTATAAACCAATGGTACCTATTAATACCTCCTGGACAAGTAGGCCATAAACAAACACATCTGCCTGTGGCTAATGTTCTTCCACAAATATACTGACTCTGACTAGTACCAAAGAATGGGTAATCAATGAAAAACAGAGAATGTGAAAATTTCTCCCTAGGTTTAACAACTAATTTTATTTAGACTTCAGATCATAGTTTGTTTGCATGGTCTATTTAGAGATGCAAAAACTATGGGCCTGAGGACCAAATCCAGCCCACTGCCTAACTTTTAAAATAATGTTTTACTGGAACACAACCATGGACATTCATTAATATATTGCTTTTGGCTCTTTTGTGCTACAACAACAGAGCAGAGTAATAGAGACCATATAACCCACAAAATCTGGAATATTTACTATCTGGCCCTTTACAAAGTCTGATAACTCTTCATATAACCTAAATAGGTTTTAACAAGAACATCTCATGTTCCTGGATTTCTTTCTATGTTTCATCCCTTACTAATTATGGTTTGCTTTTGTGTTTTCCTCTGTATTTTTAAAGTACTTCTGCATTTCTTTTCTCATTTAGTTTTTAGGGTATTGGTGAAATAGGGTCAGTATCTTAGTGTGTTTGGGCTGCTATAACAAAATACCTTAAACTGGGTCGTGTATAAGCAACAGAAATTTATTACTCACAGTTCTGGGGTCTCAGAAGTCCTAGATCAAAGCTCTGGCAGATTTCGTACTAGGTGAGGGCTCACTCTCTTCTCTGTAGATGATGCCTTGTTGCTGCATCCTCACATGGTAGAAGGGGCAAGGGAGTTCCCTCAAGCCTGTTTTAGAAGGGCTCTAATCCCATTCATGAGGGTGGAACCAACATATTACATTCATTTTAGGTTCCAACATATAAATTTTGGAGGGACACCAACATGCAGACCATAGCAGTCAGTGGGGCTTATTTCCATGCGCAAAATTTCAAAAAAGATAAGGGCAGAGGAAAAACTCAAATATCTTTTTATCTTTTAGTAATCAATTTGAATATTGGGTTATGTAAGAAGATTTTCCCAATCCCCCTAGGAAAACATTGTAACTTATTGCACTTACTCTTTGAACCTCAGCTATGCTTGCACTCCTTAACTTGTTTTTGCTCATCTAATAACTTGTAAGCTCCTGAGTCTAGGGACTTATTAATTCAAAATCTATTAAGTGCCAGTATGTGCCAGGCATGTGCTAAGTCTGAAAATACAATGATCAGTAAGACACATTTTGCCTTCGGAATATATCTAGCCTAATGAAGGGGATAGTAAAATGAAGAAATGATCACTGTATCGATCAAGATGACTATAACAAAGGGAAATACCATACAACCCAGTTTGGGGTTTCTGGGAAGGCATCTTGGAAGAACGGACATCTGAATTAATCCATGAAGGAAGATTAGAAGTAATCAAGGCAAAGGGAAAAGGTCATTCCAGGCTTAATTACAAGCAAGCAATGAAGCATTTCTGAGTTTGGGAAACTACACACACATACAGAGAAGTGGGGTGGAGCAGTAAAGGACTAAGCTTGGAGAGGTGAAATGGGACCAGATGATGAAAGGTCTCGTACAACATATTGAGAATATTGAATTTGGTCTTAAAAGCTGTGAGATTCACTGAATAAGTATAGGAAGTCCAATCATGTGATCAGATTTACACTTTAGAAAAGTGACTATGACAGTGGTAGAGAGTAGACAAGGAAAAAACAGATCGTACTGGTGAGTACCTTAATTAAGGTAGCAATGTGTGAATAGAAAAAAATTGGACAAATTTCAAAGATATAAGGCGTCTATAAGTAATAGGATTTGGTGACTAATACACACATACTGGAAGTAAAAAAGGAACCATGGCTGACTGACCGGTTTCTGGCTTGGGCGACTTAATAGATAGATGGAAGTTTCATTCACCACAAAAGGGGGTACAAGAGGAAGGACATTTCTGAAGGATGGAGAGTGAGAAGATGAGAAACATCATTTTGGATATGTCAAGGTTTTAGATGTTAGTGGGAAATTCAGATGAAATTGTCCAGGTGGATATAGCAGTGTGGATCTCAGAAGACTTATCTGTCTGGATATAAGGATCTTGGTGTATTCAACATTCATCCAACAAATATGTATTAAGAGCCCACTATGTATGCACCAGACATTATTTTAGTTCCATAAAGACAGAAGTTTCATCCTTAAGATTCAGCCATTGGAATATAAAACAAAAAGGCTATTAAACAGAACTCTGCGGAATACCAGTATTTAAGACAAGGGCAGAGGAAAACTATTTTTCAAAGTAGGCCAAGAAGAAAAATTCAAAGAGGCAGGAATAGAACCAGGGAGGGAAAAAAAAAAAAAAGATCCACAAGTCTGGAAACACTAGGAAATTTAAAATTTTAAATATTCGTATTGAGCATAAGGGTTAAGAGAGTTAGGAGGGAAGGTGGTTGGGAACAGAGTGTAGGGAATTGGGATTTAGGAGCTCAGAGACCATAGCTTATTCATGTCTCCGTCACTTCTTCCCTTACTCATACAATACTATTTACTGAGCTCCTAATCTGTGTCAGAGCTGTCTGTGCTAGGTGCCAAACATGCAATCGTTAGTAAAACACAGTCCTGATCCTCATGGAATGTATAGTATAATAGAGAAAACAGGTAACAAACAGGCAAACAAACAGTATTTACGTAATGTGATATGCTATGAAGAGAACAGAGCTTTGAGATATGGAAAAATAGCAGGATCTATTTAGAAAGGACTGATATCTGAGAACCGAAGAGATACAAAAAGGGAAAAACACATCAGACGTTTATTTCTGCATAATCTGTGCCTATAACATTTTCCGTGCATGTCAGATTCTTTTTCAACGTTAGAGTCATTAGTAAAATAATAAGAAAATTGGTATGATTATTTATTTTCTATTACCCAATCACTACTAAATACAAAGAGATAAATGTAAATTTTAAAAAACATCACAAATTAATATTTCATAAAGTATAAAGAAGGTGTCTACTTGTCTACTTTTAATTCCAAGGGTAACAATCAATTTTTGTTTTTTATTGAAACCAAGCCAAGCTCAGTATGATATGTTAAAAATGCAGGTATAATTGAAAATAGCAAAATTGTCATCAGAATTGATTTTCCTTTTCCTCCATGGTTTTGTAACATTAGAATAATTTTGTTCCAGCATTCCATTTCTTCTGTTGGGCTGTATTTGATTTTTGTAAAGGAGTATTTCTGCTTACAATCCTCTCTTTTCAGCACAGATTTGTGTTTCAGTTTAGCCAAGCATTTCCTAAAGTCAGTTCTCCTGTCTATCAGTCTCATGAAGTGCTCCAACTAAATATTCTTATGATTAAATACATCTGAAAAATATGCAGCAAACGATATCCCACTCTTTGAAAATGACACTATAGATAATATACAATTATTTAAAGATTTTGAGAAGACCTACAGAAAATTCTAGTATTTCAAAATTTTATGTTTTCTAAATTTAATTGACCACACAATTCTTTTTTTAAAGAAAAGTTTATGTACCTAACATGTTTCAGAGCATTATTTGGGTAATACTGCTGCAAATGGTTGCTCCAAGTGTCTGGACACTGTACTAATCTCTGAATGGTGTGAACTGAAAATGGTTTAAAATGTTGGCCCTTATTCAAAGGTATTTGTTTTACAATTAATAATTTTCAGGGTAAAACCATTCAAAATACAAGGGAGTGATTCTGCAGTTATGGCATAATGGGTTGTGATGAAGATATTGGCAAGTTGAAACTTGATTCATTACTTCCCAAATCCAGTCATTGTTATTCTACCATCAGAACATAAACTAACTAACCCCATTTTGATGGAGAAATTAGGGCATAGAAGGCACTTGCCTGATGCTAATCAGCTATTTAATAACCCATTTTTGTGCAAACTCTTTTTTTCCTGTGTATTTTTCCTTAACACTGTTTCTGGGTAAAAATATAGAACATATTTAAATTTGTGTTCAAACACATCTGCATTTCTCTCAACAAAGTAGAAAGATTATATAATTGAAGGTCAAAGTTAGCAGCGTAATAATGTCTTTCTTGTGCAATGTTATTTTCCCCCCACTAATGTAAATAATCATGGTCTAATTGTAATTTCAGGTGGCATCTGCTTATTTCAAAGATTTTCACCTCCTCCTAATTGGAGTTATTTGTTTAGCAACATCAATAGAAAAATGGAATTTGCACAAGAGGATTGCTCTGAGAATGGTGATGATGGTGGGTGTGGACCCAGCATGGTAGGTACTGCGTGTACTGCTTCCAGTTTACGTTCTGAAAGACTGTTTGCATGCAGAGCAAATAATCAAATAAGTAATGTACATCCAGGGAATCGTTTGTATCACAGTATAATTCATGGCTTTTTCCCCCCTCTCAAATATGAAAGTGATATAAGGTGTGTTTGAGTTGTAGAATGAAAAAAAAAAAAAAAACACCTTTCCTTTCATTGCAAGTCTAACTACAGGGAGATTGGGAAAAGTGCACACAATTCCGTCACCTTTTATGTACTGTAGGAGTCAAAGCTGAGAGAAGCCTTGAACCTCAATAGACAAGCTTGACAGACTGCAGAGCAGATTTCAGTCCTATCTTTTTCATTTGGCTGATTAAACATTCAAGACTTGTTCAAGAGCATACTTTATCATCAGGGAGGATGTTAAGAACCAAAGACAAAGATGTTACTGACAAAATACAAATGTGTGCAGAAAAATTCCAAGGTGAACATTTTTCTTCCTAAATCAACTGTTGCAAAATGAAACAATCAATTAAGACATTTCATCCATTGAATGTAAAATCATTCATTTGGCTCATTTTCTCCTAATGAAGTAAATATTTTTCTTCCATTAAATTAATTGATTATTTGGCTTTATTCCACCTCTTATTAAGAACATGAATGCAAGCTAAAGAAAATTTACAGTGTCATAATCATTTGCATAATGACATTTTGCTTTAAATCCTTAAGTGGTTCCTCCCTCCTCATCTTTCACTGAAAATAAGAACATTAACTTCTGTTGCATAATTCATTCAAAGGCATACATAGCCACGTCTGTGTTTATAATTTCACAAATTGTTTTTCTAAATACAAAAAAAATTAATGACTCAGATGAGACAAATGTTTCAAAATTTTATGTTACTTAAAAATTTTATAATATATATGTATTTGAGACATTTCACTCTTAAAATGAAATGACGCTCCATGCCTCTTGGGATGTGATAGAAATGTATCCCTTTTCCTTGACCATCTTGTTCACTGACCTCAGGGTATGGGGTAATGCACTGCACAATGAGGCAAAAGTTCTGTCCATAGAGCCACTAAGTGGCTTTTCAGTTTAAGGCATTTTCACCATACCAACCTTTTTTTATAGGAAGATTTCATGTCTTGCTGATGCCTTAAGTTAAAAGTGTTTCTAGTTTTCTTTTTATTAGCCTGGAAGACATGTTAAGTGACATAAGTCAGGCACAGAAAGTTAAATACCACATGTTCTCACTCATATGTGGGAACTAAAAAACTAAGTTGAGTTTATAGAAGAAGAGAGTAGAATTGTGATCACTGGAGGCTGTGAAGAAGAATGAGAGGGGGGACAGGGAGAGGTTGGGGAATGCATACAAAATTACAGCTAAATAGGAAAAATAAGTTCTAGTAGTGCACATAGTGCTAGGCATCAATAAATAGCAATAATTTATTGTATGCTTTCAAATGGCTAGAAAGAGGAGCTTAAATGCTCTCACCACAAAGAAATGATAAATTTTTACAGTGATGGATATGCTAATTACCATGATTTGATCATCACACATTGTATATATGTATTGAAATATAACTGTACTCCATAAATATGGGCAACCAATATGTATCAATTAAAAAATTAATAAAAAAGAAATTTTAAAATGTATCATTTCTCATTAAAGTTGACTTCTAAAAGGTTTTCTTTTATTTTATTTTACACATAGAAAATATTCATTTTATCTGACTTTGAAACACAGTGTGGAATTGTTCTTGTAAATCTATTTTAAAAGGAATCAGAAAATTTCATAAATTGCTCAGTATGGGAAGATGTGCTTCTGAATGATTTTCTAGAGCCTCCTACTCAAAATAAATCATGCTTTTTCCCAAGTGTGATTTTGAAAGCTTATAGACATGGTTTAAAATCCTGTTGTCTTAGGTAAGTTATTTTTAAAGGAGAAGAACTACTCTATTTGTAAGACAAGACAATGTAATATGTCCAGTTTTTGACAATGGAAGGAATATCAGAGCCAGGAGAGCATAAATAATAGAATCTACAGAAAATTCTGAAACCTCATTTAGCAAGTAATTTTAACCATTTTATCTACCCACCATACACTGAACCTAAAGAATAGTGATCAAGTATAAAGAAGATTTATAAATATTAATCTCTCTGCCTTTGTACCTCTTTGGCACATATTCAAATAAATGGAGATATAAAATAATGGACCCTAAGCTAAAAAGTTGATTGTACTTTTATTTTACTAATATTTGAAGGTGAGTGATCATCTGTAAAGAGCATTCAAATATTGGTGTACTACTACAAGCTGTTATGCCATATTCCAACTTGCATTTTGGTTATATATTTAATCATTTTTCTTCTTTTGGGAGAGAAGATTCTTATGGTTCCCTGGGAGCAGATCCCTTAAGAAGTCCACTCTTAAATGTGTCACTTTGATTTCTTCCTGGCTATAACTGTACTTGAAGTTCATCATCTGGGCAGAACCTTAATCTTCTATGTTTTAAAAAAACTTAATTCCTCACTCATATACAATACCCTTTACAGTGAAATAACACAGAGCTAAGTTAGAGAGCACAGCTGCACACTAAAGGCTCTCTCATTTCAGGCTGACGTTGGGGCTCATGAGCAGCACTGCCTTTTTGTCTATGTGGCTTAGCAACACCTCTACTGCTGCCATGGTGATGCCCATTGTGGAGGCTTTGGCACAGCAGCTCATCAGTGCTGAAGCAGAAGTCGAGACCACTCAGATGACTTATTTCAATGGATCTTCCAACCTTGGACTGGAAATTGATGGTATTGCATGTTGATATGGCCACAGTGGGGTCATTGTCATTTGGGCAATAGGCATACACTCAAGAATTCTGGGTTATATTTTTAATTAAGTGTCCATACCTGCATAATGTGAATTTAACTTTCCTCTTTATATTGTTTCCATTAGTTATACAAAGGAATCATATTACACAAATATTTTACCTTAATTATCGAATTTATATTTTCTGGCAAAAAGTTGAAGAATGCCTTTTCTATCCTCCAGCCAGTTCCATGGCATGTTCTCTTATGTCTTTATCAGTAGACCACCAGCTTGCTCCTTCTTGCCCTGAAATGACTTTCCTGCATAATATTAAGAATCTATAATTTCTACATTATATCTGGATACACCATCAAATTTTACTGTGGTTATTTTTGGCTCTGATGACTGCTCTGATAAAGTGAAAAAATAGAGTGTATATTTGTGCTTATAAAATACTTTGTTAAGACAATGTTATATCAGTGTATATTTGTGTTTACAAAATACTTTGTTAAGATGAATGTTATGGCAGCACAAGGTGAATTTGTTTATTTTCAGTTTCCAGTAATGTTTCCATTTTCTCATACACACACATATAACCCAATGATAACCCTTTATTTAAATTATTTTATTTTATTTAATGTTTTTCAGGAATTGTTAATGTACATGAAACAAACGAGAGGCAAGAGAACACAAAACCAGTTGAAGGGTAAAGAATATTGACATTTTAATTAGAGTTTTCCAAATTACATTTTAATAATATTATAAACTGGGTCAATTTATTTTTCAGATACAGTAATGATGCAGGGAAAATTTCAAGCGAAATGGAGTTGGAAAAGGTACACTAAATTCGATTCTTTCTAAATAATTATACAGGAAATTATATTAGAACTGCAGTTAGATATGTATGCATTTTGTTACCTGTTCCTTGCTTCCTTGTCTATAAATTATTTTGCTTGACTAAGTCAAAGTATGGTGTGATGGCTTGAAAAGCCTTCATGGATAAACTGAAATCAACATCCAGAGAGGAACCATTTTAGAATCTGAAAATTGGTATCATTATTTATCCTTTTACTGGAATCATAGTGATAGCAGTTAGCCAATGTAGTCTAAAGAAATTTAATTCTACTCTCAGAATATTGTTTCATTTTTTATTAAAACCTTGCGAACTAAAAGCCTGATGTTTATTAGGAACATCCTCATTTCTTCCACGTTATGAACTTAAATCAACTCCTATTCATGTAATTGCATGTCCAGTTATCTTTAGTGTTCCCGTTGCCACTAAAAAATTCAATGCAGAATTTATGTTTCTTCTGTCATACATAGGTGGAGGAGTTCTTGTAGTCATCTAGATATTGAAGGAAGGACAACTTTGTAAACTATCCCAGAGAATTTATTTCCCCAGAATAAATCAATATAAAAATACTATACTAGGTTGCACTGGGAGCAATATATCTTGAGACCAACGAAAAATAATCCTGCATAGAATTAGCATTAAAGTAACCATGGCATTAGGAATAGGAGAGTAGGACATATGTTCCTTCCTCAGGCTATAATGCATTAGCATGCAGCTCAATGGGAAAAAGAAAACACTCTGTTATTTACAGAAATCTTCAAGGACAGAGCAATTTCTATGTAAAACGAAAGTAAATACAAAAAGGTTTAAGCAATTAGCTAGAGTGTACATTAAGGATTTTTAAAGAAGGGAATTACATATATATTTATGAAAACATTATCTTCTTTAGGGTTAGAAGTAATTCTTTTAAAACACAGAAAATGAACAGTATGCCAGGTATGTTATAGAATAATACATTAAAAATGGGCTTTAAAATCTATTGTGAAATTGGCAAGCCTAAACAGAGACAGTATACGTGCACTCAGGAACTTTCTTTTGGTCATCTTCAGAAACCTAGTTTTCTGGCATGATTCCTAAACTTTGGGTTAAGGCCTTTCAAATTGATTTGAGCAATACTCCTAGGGATGGTAGGAAGACTTATTGATAAAAAGATCTGGTTCTTCTTGTAAGCAGCTCAGATTCTAGTGTTGAATATTGATTTAAAGAAAATGTCTGACATTAAATACCACAACAAAAGCATTTATGAGGCCAAGGCTTCCAGAAGCAGGTGCAATTAGTTCATTCTGGGCTTTTGAGTCTGGAAAGATGATAGTGAATGCAAGCAGAAGGTGCGGGATCCACAAGTGCAGGGACATGTCTACTTTGTCACCATTCTAGACCCTAGCACTTTCTGTTGCCTGACACAGAGTAGGCATTCAATCGATATTTATCTGTATAAATGAATGAATGAATGAATGCAAAGAGTAGAAAAAGAAAAAGGTATTCTAATCAATCAGATAATACAACTAATTCAAAGACCCAATAATGTACAAACCAGGGCTTTTTCAGAAAATCTCTCCAGTGGACGTGCTAGAGATGAACTGTTGTAATGAGTGAAATGAATGGTTCGATAGGTTGGGCCAGGGTAGAAATAGTTCTTCATGTATCGCAAGAAGTCTATCTTACTGGAAACAGAAAGCTTGAAGCTGGGGGTCAGCATGGTAAGCTGTGCCTTTGGGAAGCTCACTCTGGTAACAAAGTGAAGGGCATGAAGGTGTGGACCTAACTGAGCTTTCTGATTCGTCAGATGTTGGGGTGAACAAAAGAAAAGTGTAAAGCTGCCTCCACTGCTCTACACTAGGGAAAGGCAGATTCTGATGTCATTGATTAGGATGGGGAGCACAGAGTGAGGAATAAGTTTTCGATAAGTAAGACAATTTGGGTGCATTTTAGGCAATAAAGATTAATTTCTGATTTTAGGAGAGGAGAGCAAGGCATCTGAATGCTGATTCAATGGTCTTTCTAGAACCCAATGTATAAAATTCAGCCTTATATATATAAAAAATTAAGGAACAACTTTTTGCTCTACAAAAATGTTCTTTATAAGGGATTGCGTGAAAGCATTATTTTATAAATTGTACATTTAATGTAAGTTTTGATTTTTAACAATTATAGATTTCTTTTCAGGAATAAACATACTGTATAGTTCATGTTGCAATTATAATAAACTGCACCTGGTCTTTGCTGGATTTACTCTAGATCACTTAACACTAATTGATTATATGGAAGAATCTTTACCTACCTCATATGGCTATAAAACAGAAGCAATATTTATATTTGTGAAGTCTGCTTTCTTCTTGAAGTGGGTGGGGCTTTCTATTGAGCTAAAATAAATCTTGTGTAGTTTGGCTTTGAATTTGACCTATGAATCAAAAAAGATCCAAATATTACTGCCTATTGAGGGAGAGTGGTTTAAAATAAATTTCAAAGAAGAGAAAGAAAATGAAGGGCTTAGTTTTTTGATAATGTGTACCATGTTTCTGTGTTTCTGCAAAAAAAAAAAAATAATTAAATTGGATTTTTAGTGAAAATTATTACAATTTTATTCATTTGAATCACCATTTCTTTAGTACAAAATTAAGGATTTTTAAAATTTAACTAAAATCTCTTAACTAATACAATCCAAGATGATTGGTGAGCTTACTTGATTTTTTAGAATTACAATATTGTTTTTCAAGGGCAATTATATACACACTGATCCATATAAAATTTAGTATGTAATAAGCAGAAAGTTCCCAATAAATAGAAAAAAATGAGAATTGACTCTCAAATAAATTCTGAATTTAGTGAGCATAGTAATATTGGTTAAGAAATATATATATTTAACACTTGCTCAAATATTATCTTCTCAATGAGGCCTACCCCAACCTCCCTATTTCATTGCAGGCAACATATCCCATATTTCTCCTAATCCCCCTGACCCTACCCTACTTTTTCCAAAGCATATATTACCTTTTTACAAACTTTATAATTTGCTTAATTTTTATTTGTTTTGTTTATTGTCAGTTTTTTTTTTTCCTTTTGTCTTTTTTTTCGTGTCCGGCAACGGATCGCAACCCTCAGTGTCATGCCCGTACCGGACCGGGACCGGCAACGGAATCGCAACCCTCGGTGTTGTGCCCGTACCTCGCTCAGCCAGTGAGTGGGAACCGGTCTGTATGTGGGATCCGAACCCTCGGCGGGAGCGCCGCCGCACTCCCAAGCGGCGCACTGTAGCAGTGCGCCACCGGGCCGGCCCTTATTGTCAGTTTTTTCCACTAAAATGTGAAATCCACAGGGGAAGAGATTTTTGTCCATTTAATATGTATCTCAAATATCTAGAACGGTGACAGCCATAGAATAAGTGTCTAATAGTTATTTTCTGAGGGAATAAATTCAGTAGCATTTTCTCAAATAATTACACTTAGATTAAAATAACTCATGTTGTATATAAACTATAACAAGAAAGGAAGCAAATTGATAAAGATTTAAAGATAAATCTATGGACCTAATTAATATAATTTGGTATGGAAAGATAAAAAATCATTTGGAACTAAAATTTGTCAGCCCTAAAATTCCTATTAGTACAACTGTAAAGTTTTCATATAGATAATAATGTTGATAATTTTGCTGTTGCTGCTGCTGGTGTTGAAGACAATTGACACTCAGTAGTCCCTTAGATACCAGGAACTGATTTAGGAGTATTCATTTATAAAAGTCACATTTCTATGCTGCATATCTAAAAAAAGAGATGTTTTCCATGACTCACCAAGTTATCTTCTCACTACAGTCCATGGTCCAGACATTAACATGGCTCTCTACGCATGCCCAGAATAAAAGTGATGGGTAGGTACTTAGTTCATAAATCCCACACTACTCACTAAAAGTAGCTGAAATATTTTTAGGGAAGAAAAGGAACTGGGAAGAAAAGACCCAAAAAGGACACTGACAGTACATGAGGGGATATATTTGTCAGGTTCCAGTGGGGCAGTTGAGAAATCAACCATCACTCACATGGTTTCCAGGAGTAATGAGTTCCAGGTATCCAAAAATCCATTTGTAGATATCAAAGGAAAAATCAAGTTACCAGTTCCTTCCCTCCCCTACAAGCATTGGTATCATTCAAAGAGATACCCCAGAATTTTACATCAGCTTAATTCTAGTTAGGAATAGAGAGCCATGTTAATATGTGGGACAAGGACTATAGTGAGAAGATGGGTTGGTGACTCATGGAAAACATCTTCTTCTTAGATACGTAGCCTAGAAATGTGACTCTTATGAACAAATACTCCTAAATCAGTTCCTGGAATCTGAGGGACTACTGAGTACCCATCATCTTCAACATCAGCTCAATTTCTAAACCTCCAGCCATCTTCAAATGAAAGAAATTGGAAAATCAGTATGCTTTTAATGAAAAATATGAGATAATTGTTTTTCATCTATTTAGTATAATTTGTAGTTCCCCAAAGGAAGAAGTTCAAAGAAAAAAATATCCTTGAGCAAATTGCATCTTGATTTTATTTAGGTGTTGTTTAATATGGGGGTGAAAATCCTTATCATTGAAAATCAAGTTTTACAAGACAACACTTTTTAATGTGCTCCAAGAACTCAAAGAGTCTTGTGTGTACAGTAATAAACATTGTTCATAATATCAGAAACTAGGGACATTAGTTCTGCCAAATAAGGACACATCAATTCTAGACTATCTGGTCCCTAGATCAAAACTGAAAAAAAAAATGTATTTTAGCTTAGATCACATAGGTACTACAAGCAAAAGCTGGTTCTTTTTGATTACTCTTCCTTTTTCTTAGACTGAGTGAAATTGGGTGACAAAGGCAATTAGTGCTGCTCAGTCCTCACCTAGGTGTCTCCTTTTATTCATCCAGCCAAATCCTGAGGTTTATGGAAAATGTTTATGGAAGCACAACCATAAAATGACCTTGCTCCAGATTCTGATCTTTATTG